CGGCTTTAAAAGCGGGGTCGCCTATAATAAAGGTCGATAGCCGGTAATACTCCTTAATTATTTAAAAAAACTCTATTTAAATAGCTTTAATAACGTCGTTAAACTAAGAATAATAAGTTAGTAATTACGGAGTAAATAAAAAATAATAGTAATAAATATATAGGGTTATAACGGTAATTAGCTTTATTATTAATATAAATAGCGTAGCGGGTAATACTTTTAGTTTTATAACGAATTAGTAATCTATAAATAGGTAAATAACGGCGGCTTAATATATAGAGGTAGTTATAGTAGCCGACGCTAGCTAGGGTATTATTACTTTTAGTTAATACTTATATATAAAGGAGGTAGGGGACCTTACGTAGGGCGCTTAATATAAGAGCCTCTTTAAGTTTACGCTCTTTTTTTTTTTTTTTTTTTTTTTTTTTTTTTACCTTTTTTATTAAATATTAGCTAAATATAAAGTTAGCGGACTTTATAAATAAAAAACGGATACGTTATATAAGTTTAATATATTATTTAAATATCTAACTCGTTTTTAAAAAGGTAAATAGATAATAGCTCGGAGTTAGAGCTAAACTTTAACTCTTTACTATTTATATTATTTTTATTATTAAATAGGGTAACGGGCTCGGCGGGTATAGTAGTAGTAGCGGGCTAGTTAACGAGAACGAACTATTAAAATATTAATAATAGATAAAAAGCTAAAAAGCTATAGAGTAATAATATATAAAAAATATAGTAGTAGTAGTATATAAAATATTTATTTAATTATTTTTTAAGTTAAAAAAGGGTTTTTAAACGCGCGTAGGTATATAAGTATAAAGAAGAGATTATATATATAAAAAACAATAGCGGGGATAATAAGCTTATTAAAAATTAGATTTTTATAATAAATTAACGAAATTTAAGTAGTAGAAGTGCGGAAATAAATAGATTAGAGTATTTATAAATCGTTATATAAAAGTTAAAAAGAGAGAGCTTTTTATAAAGGGGGGGGGCTTAATAGAAATTAATAAAAAGGGACCGTGGGTAACTAGTTAGCGGGTTAAAATAGGGCGGTCGATTATTTAGGGTATTTATAATTAAAAAACGGATTAATAGCGGATTCGTTTTAAAAACGAGGTAGGGGGGTATATATTATAGGCTAGATTTAATTAATAGATCTAAGCTTTAGCTCGGATATTATTACGGCTTATTATGCCGCTTTTATAAAAGTTTTATTTAAACGCTTTTTTTTTATAGAACCTTTATAAAACCTCCGCTTTAGAAACCTCTATTCTTTAGTTTAGATTCTATATACTAAAATCCCCTTAACGTGGACTTACGTGGGCTGGACTCTTAATAGCCAGTGATATTAGTCCCGAAGCAAGCTTGCCTTAATTTTAGGCTTCAAGCTTCAAGAGACACAGAACCCAGACTTTGAGAAGTGTGCGTGTAGAACTTGAATGCCATGGCCAAACAGGGCGGTAAAGTAGTGCGCGTTGATATTGAGCACACATCAATAACGCTGTCACGATTCTTCATCGTAAGTTCTAGCTACCCTCAGTCTTCGTTTTACAGAAGGTATCAGCAATGATGTCATAAAACCCGTGTATACTATTTGAATACCATACGAGAGACAGACCGCGGACATGATATTTTATAGCCACGTTTCTTGGCATGACTATGCGGTCACCGGTGCCCGCGTCATGGAATACATTAATTTTATCCGTTCCTGGACGTCTTCCGGCGAGAGCTTGATTTCAAAAGGCAACTATCTAGCTGTACCCTATAGAATTCTCATGTAACGCCGCAGTATTTGGCAGAAGCTTAGTCCGAGGAGTTCTCAAGTTTTGAAAAATTGACTGGTTCCACAGAAACAACATGCAATCCGTGGCAAACTGGGGCGGCAGTTTCATTGCAATCAATTGGAAGCATTTTTCATTCAGTGTATTTCAAAGTTCCCACAGCCATGATGTTGAAATTTTCCTAGTCAACGACGCGTGGCATAGTAACTTGTCTCGCGACAGCCTCCCATTGAGGTGAGATTCATTCGTCTCAACTCCCCAACATCACCCAACATCACAAACTCCTAGCCTCATGGCTGGCCAGACTCCAATTTGGAACGTATCAAATGTCAGGCTTTATTGCTTCTTACGGTTGGTGAAGGATGTATTGCCGGTCTCCACGAACCGGTGGGACGTAGTTGCTCTCTTTCCCAAACACATTCGAGTCAAGGCGATGATGATTGGAGGGTAGGTGTCGTCTGTAAAGCATAGCAGAGAAGACACCGACTAGAGCAAGTCTGCTAGTATGTCTATGACATAATCCAACCCTGTTGTTACGAACACGATAACGGTAGTCGGAAACAACCGTGCCATCGCATGAAAGTTTCGGACATCCGGCCGACAGCATTGCGCACGTAGAGGCCTTCGCGTATGCCTATCGCCGATTCGACGAAGTACGGAACCGAGGCATTTTCCACAATAACGTACATCAGACGAAATACATAAATCTTTTCGACAGTTCTGGAACCCATGCGGAGTCCTCGGCAAGGGTAATGGGCCAAGTTGCTAGCGGTCTTCTTCATGATACATGGCGAACAAGACATGCGGGGAGATTTGATCGCTCTTTTTTCACGTCAAAGGCTTCTCCCATCTGTCAAAAACTGCTTGTTGACGAAACATTTCCGAGTTGAGTCTTGGAAAGCTCTACCAAGTACAAACAATGTCAATGGCATCACCGCTCGGAGATCGAAGATTTTCAAGTCCCCCCTACCAATATTTACGTCTCTCTTGCGACGGAAATTTCTTGTTTCCGCGGGGGATTTAATAATTGCCGTCTTAAAAGTCAAGTCAGACTGCATCTCCAGATGTATAAGTCCGAACTAATCGGGAGGAGCATATTGTCCGAGGCTTACAAGATGAAAAACTTTAATCAGTCGATCTACCTACCGGTTTTTCAAGACAGGCCTGGGTTCCGGTGGGCGAATTATGAGGCTCGTGTCGAATGTTCAGATGATCGGTGTACAGGCCACCCATCACAGCCTGTTGTGGACAAAATACCGAAATACTGCGCCTGCTAGCAGCTAGACATGATGTCACGGGGACGGACTGAGAAAAAAGTCAGGAAACAGAGTTTTGTCAGTCAAACGGCTATCATCTGAAGGCAATTTTTTCCGTCACCCCCTCACAGGCGAGGGACCCTTATGATGGCACAAAGTAGGTATTCTGCAACCCGATTGGAGAACTTTGAGTAAGCAATCGAGCCCTTGATGGATGCTGCGGGTGTAGTGCCCAAACAGGACCCCTCGGCACCTTCAGACGTTCAGCCGGTCTAGACATGTCGGCATGTCATCATAGCGAACGACGTCAGTATCCCGCCGGTCCGGAACCATTCGGGCAAGTTTTGAAGCCTCCGATTCATCAATAACGTTACCAAAACAACTTCCTGTGAGGAATGATCGGGACATAAGTTTGATCAATACTATTAGGGTTACCGGGGTTATCCATTGTCCTTTATTCACGACTACGAACGCACCGAAATACCACATCAAAAAAGAGATATATATACCTTCTATGCCGCCCGCTCCATATCCACCTACTTTCCAACTCATCAAACCCACAACACTCTCAGAACACTTACAGAAACCATGAAGACTACCTCAGCCGCCGCACTCGTACTCATCTTGGGATGGACCCAAGTTCTCGCCAGACCTGTGAATGACCCAAACATCAACGTCCGCGATGCCAATGCCAATGTCTCACCCGTTGCGATTGAGTCGCGACCATTGGAGCCTGATCGCCAAGCATTGAATCCATTCCTTGGCGAAGATAAGAACTCCATCAAGAACGACAACCCCGACCCGAAGACCAAGATCTATCCCAAGAGGTCGGAGAAGGACGCGCCCTACTCTAGGTCCGAAAGAGATCTAAAGGCCAGCATCTACATCCCCAAGACATTTTCAGCATCATCAAATAAGCAGCCCGTCATTCTAGTCCCGGGCACCGCTGCGATGGCTGGTACGACATACCGGGCGAACCTCGGCCCTCTACTGGCCAAGTCCGACTTTGCCGACCCCCTCTGGGTCAATATCCCCGATGCCTCGCTGGACGATGCGCAGGAGAACTCGGAATATGTTGCCTACGCTATCAACTACGTGCAAGATATGACTGGTAAGAAGCCAGCCGTTGTCGCTTGGAGTCAGGGAAACCTCAACGTACAATGGGCGTTGAAGTACTGGCCCAGCACCAGAGACTCGGTGACCGACCTGGTCTCAATGAGCCCCGACTTTCACGGAACCAAGGAGGCATTCGCGGCTTGCAAGACTCCCGCCGCTATCATTGGCTGTACTCCGAGCGTCTACCAACAGATGTACGATTCCAAGTTTGTCCAGACCCTTCGTGCAAACGGAGGTGATAGTGCCTATGGTGAGTTCACATGTTCGCAAATCATTTCGTCCAAACCTCTAACAAGTTCCACTAAGTTCCCACCACTTCCATCTTCAGCGCAACGGACGAGGTTGTTCAACCGCAATCAGGTCCCATCGCCTCGGCCATGCTAAAAGACGGCAATGGTGTCGCAGTTAGCAACATTGAGGTTCAGAAAGCTTGTCCCGCTACGCCTGCTGGTGGTGAAGTTACCCACGAAGGCATGCTCTACAACTCACTTGCATTCGCCCTACTCAAAGACGCTCTCACCAATGAGGGCCCTGGCAAGCTCGACCGCATTGACAAGAAGATCTGCGCTGATCCTGCTGCCGGCAAGCTTGACGCCCTCGAGATCCAGGCTACCGAAGCTGTCTTGGTTGACGCCGGGGCGAACGTGCTTGCCTACCCCAACAAGGTCAGGCGTGAGCCCGCTATCAAGGACTACGCCAAGGTCTAAGCATCGAAAACCATATCATTGTCAGCGGGCTGGCGTGTACCATTTTTGTAAATTATTTGTACACCACTTATCAACAGTACTAGTAACGATATACGAGCAAGCGAGCGAGCGAGCATATCAGCGCATTTACACCCACATGCCTTTAGCGTTGCTTAAGTTGTAGAAAATAAAAATCTGGTCTTTTTGCTTTATAACCATCTGAGAACGAGGTCGAACCTTGGCTTGAAATATGTCTCGTAGTGTGACTCCATCATTGACCCCCTGTCAGCCTCATTAGTTCTTAACTTTGGATGGTGGTCAATGTAGTCTATCTCTCAAAACCAATCATCACGTTATACCTCGGCCAGTTTCAAACGTTATGTTAACAGTTCTTTTATATTGATGGGAGCAGAGAATGTGATGGAATGTAGGAAGTTTCTGTGAAAACAATCTGCCGGGGTAAGGCCAACCACTCGGCCCACTCATCTCCCAGGTGTTGGCAGATAACGTTCAACAGATATGCCCCTGAGTCTCCAATCTGCCAAAGGTCCCGTGCCAGATGCAGAATAGAAGCATAATAGGCCAGGATAGCTATCGCTTCAGGCTTTCTTTCGGCAAGCTTCCTAGTATATTCCTCTGATACCATCAGTGACCAGGAAAAGACCATCTGGATCAGGTACTTCCGACCCATGAATACCCTGGTGTCTAGATCATCTAGTGCGACCTGTATTAGGTCGATAGCAGACATGTAAACCTCCTTCTCGGCGGGCGAAATGTTTGGTGATGCAGATATCAAGTCCAGGATGCTATCACAATCAGGACCGACACCTTTTAGCCGACTCAGGCCCAGCCCCCACGACATCAAAGGGACAAGCTCCGATGTCTTCAACAATGCCCAGGCGCGACTTACGATTACTCTAACACCTCTCCGGATCCTAGCAAAGTTCACGTAGCAGTCAATGAACGGATCTAGACTGGCGCTGCGGAATGCAAGTGCGTCGATGCAGAGATGTCGGCCAAGGATGGCGGAGAACAGGACCAGGGGAACGCAGCTGGGCTCGTCTATCCGCGCCTTTTGAGCGTTGAATAATGAAATAGCTCTTGTTTGTAGCTGAACTGCGTCGTGTAGGAATTCCATTGCGTTTTCTGGCTCGAGGATCGACATATGCCGAGCAGACAGGGCAAGGATCTCGTGCATGAGGTACGGGGCATCGGACCCTGTCTTGAGGATGAGCTGGGTGTTTCGTTCGATGAGACTTGGGTCGAGCTCGGGCACGGCGAGTGCTAGAGAAAAGTGTACTAGGAATCTCATGTGCGCCATGTTGATCATATTGTCCGATATACTGGGAGCGGGCTGGCCCATGTCGCCGGTATACACTATCAGGTGGGCCAAGTCCGGAGTCGGGATGACAGCGGGGCTCCTCCCGGTCGGAGATCCATACGGCGAATCCGGCTTCGAGGTCCCGGCATCTGACAGCACGGAATCCTGCATGGGTTCATCATCGCGCGTAGAACTTGCTACAGACCCTGGATCTGCAGCGTATGGGAATACACATGTGCGGTCTACCATCGTACAGTTGACGCATCTTGGTCGAGTCTCATCGCACTACTCATCCGATTAGTCGATGTCTCCAGCCTTACAATGCCCGTCGGCGGGTACGCGTAACAAATACGTGGAAACTGATAGGTCCAGCTTACCTTCATATGGCGTCGTTTGCACTCGGCACATCCCTTCCGGGACTTCCTATGGGAGCGTCTGTACATGGTTGGTCCGGTCGATGGCTATACCGATGTACGCTTGTCGGCTCGAATACCGTCTAAGTCCGATGCACATCCCTGGGAACCCGTAGACCCCGAATGCTTCAGAAGTCGCAGCGTGCCAGATCGATTCGGTCGTCAGCAGTAAAGAGACATAAAGGCGACCATTGAAGTTTTTCCACTTGAATGAACACTTTGCCGGTGTACAAACTTTAAAGCGTCCACACGGCTAGCTAGGCATACTCGCCCAGCTTCTCTAAGCCATGATACTTGACGTACGTGGACCTCAGCCGCGATTTGTTTCTCGAGCTGCGCCAGGTTTCACGGGTGATCCGTGAACCATATTATTAGTCTGTCCGACTTTATGCTTAGTTCCGCCCGTAAAAAGCTTTGCGATACGTGTATTCGGGAACCGCCGGGCCAATAGTTGGCTATCTTTAGTGTACGACCCACCCGTAGAATACGTGTATTCGCATTTACCTCGGACCATTTACCACCGTAGACTCTCAAGGCTGACTTTTCAGGTTTGATTTGTTACTAGAATTCGCGAGGGGCAGCGCATAATTAGACAGCAAGGATTCATAGTAGGGCAAGTCCGTGTTTTTTTTCTCCGATCCCTTTACGCCGTTACGCTGTACACTCTACGTACAATATGCCGGCAAAGACCTTTGCCATGTCCCACACACCAGCGGCCCGCATCCCTCTACTAGGATCCCGCTAGAGTATTGCTGGGTGTTATTAACATGAGGAAGGCTGCAAATGAAATGAACTCAAGGGAGTTTTTAGCCTGCAAGATCAAAAGAGGGACATAAATGCCGGGCTTCTGGTCCACTCCCCTATCTTCTCCTAAGGTATTAGATGTAGCCAAACGGTTTCTCCCCCTCATTAAAGCTCGACTGCAAGCACGTACACATTTACTTGACAGGATGCATTTTTGTATCGATGAAGATCGAATAGCAAGAATGTGATGCCATCTAATACTTTTCTCACAGGCAATTGTGGCTAAACTAGCACAAATGTAAGGGCCGAGACAAGGAAGAGCTGTTCTCGAAATCGGCATACTAGGATCTGAACGTGCCATTTGCCCTCAGAAACCTGAGTCATTGCTTCCTTAACCTGGAATCGCTATTACGATGTGCAGAATATGATGGGGCGGAGAAAATTGGCTCAATTCCCATTCGAATCTTTTGGTGTGATCAAGTCTGCCATGAGAATACCCGTGACATGACGACTCATCAAATGATAGCTGAACGATCACTTGTGCTTCTCTGTGGACATGGATATTGGACTGACATGATGATCATTTTGGTTTCGGTTCCTGGTCCTCGTCTCATAGGTATGCTTCGTATTCAGAGGCTCGGCCTCACGAGTCACCTAGGAATGTCCTCTACAAGTCCAACCCCTGGTTGCAGAGCTCGGAAAGTGACATGGAACTCTCCTTACCAATAGCGGGCTACTCCATACATGGAGCCTGCCGAATTACTGGTATGCTGCTTACCCCTGCGACACTAGAGCAGTAGGCACTCTGTCGGTGGAACTCGGGGAGAGATTAGCTAGTGAGCTAGTTCGTTGAGTTGCTGTCCCCTGCACGTCAGTAAGCTATCGTGCTGTTCTGACGTAGTTTCGTAAGCAAATACTCGCCTATCGCTTTTCGCTCTCGGTGCGAAAAAGTGCCCAACCATTGAACCAACACAGCCAGGCACTCTGCAAGGCGAACTGGTCCTCGGCTGATTATCGGCCCGATGGTTGAAGAGAGGATCAAAGGAGGTTGATTGTAATAGCCAGATACGACAGTAAAGGGGTCAGAAGGACCACGGCCTGGGGCCAAGCAAAAGTGATCAACCTCATCCACCCCAACGTTTTCCCAGAACTCTGCTCGCAACCCCTCCCCCTCTGCTCTTCCTGCATATTGGACCTATTGAGAGGCTCGCGATGCCATATTTATTTGGATAATCTGCTTCATCGGTTGCAGGTCAGGCTGTCAAAGCTGGAGCCAAGCTAGGAGCGTATTGAAAGGAAGCGCCGAGCGATTTACAACCCACTGTTCTTCGCTATCTTTAATAACTGTCCAGACCTAATGAATTACCTGATCGAGTCTCATGCTGCGGTGATCTACAAAGACAACAATGAATCAACTATTGTTTATCGCATTCCGACTAAGGCACTATGCCGTAGTAAAGTATATGGCTACAAGCTGCATAATTCGTTTCGATATCAACGAGGCGGACAGTAGCGGCTGGGCTCCATTGATCCATGCAATCTAAAATGCTATGACAACATGATCAAGCTCCTGCTTCTGAAAAACAGGGTTAATGTCAACCGAGGGGACTGGGATGGAAGAGCGCCTCTGATTCTAGGAGCGTAACGTGGGAGCAGCTTCGTCATCAACTGTCTTCTCGAAGCAAGCAAAGTCAATGCAGCCTCCAGAGATACTTGGGGTACAAGCCCGGTGTCTTCCGCAGCAGAAGGAGGAATATCTGGAATTGTCAAATCGCTTCCTAGAAAAAGGGATTGGAGAGGTGCAAAGGACCATGGAAACAATCAAATTGCCCCTCGACATGGCGGGGGCTGATCCAAACCCACACGACAAGCCAGGGCAAAAGACCTTGTGGGAGGCTATTTTTTCCGGCTGTGTGGCGCTAGCTGAGCAACTAATAGGGACTGGCAGGCTCACGGGGCATCTTGATCTATGGGACGGCTTGGGCCGCACACCGATGGATGCGAAGGCCCATAAGGATTGCAAGACGAGCGAGAAATACCTCTTGTTCTTCTGGAGCTGTATGATGGGCCTGCAAGATGGAGGCCTAAGTTGAATCAAGTGTGGGTGTTAGAGGAATAAAAAAAAGGACTTCGGAGAACAACAATTTCTAAGGAAAAAGGATAACAATGATTCAACACTAGGTAATAAGCTAAGGAAAATAACAAATGTAGATGACATCAAAACTCCACAATGCCTGACCCGATGATTTCCAATCTCCACTGTATCTCCCCCTCTCAGCCTCAGCTGTGGTCCATTCAAGACCTTTCTCTCCCAAGTTCCGCTGAACTGTTTCTCCCAGTGTTGTCCCTTGCCAGTTTCCATAGCGTTCCCACACGAAATACAGATAAAACTTGTTACAACTCACTCATAACAACTAGTAATAGTAAGGAGACTGCAGAATTGTGGTTCTGATCGCCCTTGTGTCCCGTGTGACCACCATGTTCCCTGTGTATATCCTCCCATCAAGTTGTATCCCATGCCCTCGACTCATACAAGTACAATCCGTATCCTCATGAAAGCGCCCCCATTATATCTTTAACGATATCTCCGAAAAAAAAACACTAACAATCTAATAAAAACTACTCACTCGTCTTCATGTCTTCGTAGTATGATGATGCCCATAACTCTTTCTTTCATCTCTTGTATCTCTCCAGATGTCGTTGGCCAGTCTCTAGTTGCTCCAGTCAAACCCGACGCAAAGCTTGCTCTTCTTGCACACAGCCTTGGTGAGAGTCTGGATGCTACCACTGCTCAACAACTCGAGAACCTGCATGTTGGCCTCGAACTCGCGGGTGATGAAGTTACGAATCTCGATGGCGACGAGCGAGTCAAGCGGGTAGTGGGACAAGCTGCGGGTGACGTCGAGATCCTCAATCTCCATCATGAGGACGGCGGCAATCTTCTCGACCAACCCACGGCAGACAACCTCCATAGCCTCTGCCTCGCTGCGCGACGCCTTGAGGGCAGCGTTGAGTGAGACGGCACCGTTGGCACCAGCCTCGGCAGCGGCAAGCTCCTCAGCAGCTAGGCGGAGAGCCTTAAACTTGGCATCGGGTGTCCAGAAGGGCTGGACGCTGGGCGTGATGCGCATACCAGTGATGACGTGGTGGTTGCAAACGGAAGTCTTGTTCGAGATGGATGCGCCGATGAGGGCAAGCACCTCGGCCTCGCAGATGCTGTCGGATCCCAAGTTTTTGGCGACCTCGGCAGCACGCTCGGCACTACCATCGGCCAGGTAACCGGCATCAGAGACAGCGGTCAAGTCGAGAGAAGTAGCGGGCAGACCAAGGGCAAGACGATGCTGGACGAAGGCGTTGAGGAAGCAGTTGGCGGCGGCATAGGCGGCTTGACCACGGTTACCGACAGCTCCGGCAGCAGAAGAGATGGCAATGAAGAAGTCAAGCTCAGTCTGGCGCTCCTGGAGGGCATTGTGGAAGTTCCATGCACCCTGGACCTTGGACTCGGTGACTGAGGTATAGTCGTTGTAGGTCATTTGCTCGAAAAGAACGTCCTAGACTGATGTTAGTACATAGAGTGTGGGGGAAATAAGATGAATAACATACACGAAGGACCATGGCACCGTGGATGACACCACGGACGGGAGGAAGACCCTTGAGGCCAGTGTTGAACAACTGCTCAACGCTAGACTTGTCGGCGACGTTGCAAGGGCGGACGGTGATGTGGGCACCATCGTTGGCAGCCTCGTCGATGAGCTCCTTGACCTTGCCGGTGGCAGAGCCACTGCGAGAGAGGAGAACAAGGTTCCTGGCGCCATGAGCAACCATCCACCTGGACATGCTGCGGCCGAGACCGCCAGTACCACCGATGAGGAGGTAGGTAGCATCAGGCTTCAGAAGGGCTTTGGCAGCCTTGGAAGGAGTAGCCATGACGACATCCTCAGCATGAGGAACAACAACCAACTTGCCAGGGCCCTGGGTGGATTGCAACGTCTTGAAGGCTGTCTCCATGCAGGACACGGGGAAAACGGTGGCAGGGTCAATGGGTCGGAGCTGGTCATCGGCAAGAAGCTTGGAGACATCAGAGACGAGTCTCTCCATAATCTTAGGCCTCTCTGCGGCAAGGCCGAAGATGTCAACGCTGAGGAAGGAGGCGTTGCTGTCAGACTGGCCCATGTCGAGGCGGGTGGCGCGAGAGCCATCCTTCCTGCGAACATCAACGAGGCAACCGAAGCGGCTGAGGCAAGCCCAGCTCTCTCTCAGGGCATCAGCACCGGGAAGGGTGTTGAGAACAACGTCAACACCCTCGTCGTTGGTCGCGCGTCTAACGGCAGCTCTCCAGGTGGTGTTGCGGCTGTAGAAGATATGGTCCTCAGGAACGTTGTAGTGCTGCATGAGAAGCTTCTTCTTGGCAGCGGTGCTGACAGTGACGAAAATCTCGGCACCGATCATCTTAGCGAGGCAGACTGAAGCCTGACCAATGCCACCACCGGCAGAGTGAACCAGAATGCGCTGGCCCTCACGGAGGCGGGCCTGCTCGACCAAGCTGTAGTAGGCAGTGCAGTAAGCCAAGGGAAGGGTGGAGGCATCCTCGAAG